AATTCTAATTCCAAAACCAGAAAAAGACACTACAAAGAAAGAAAACTACAGGCCAATATCCCTGATGAACATAGATGCCAAAATCCTGAACAAAATACTAGAAAATCGGATCCAGCAATGCATCAAAAAAATTATTCATCGCCCTGGCCGGTTTGGTTCAGCGGTTAGAGCGTCGGCCTGCGGTCTTGAGAGACCCGGGTTCGGTTCCCGCTAAGGGCGCGTACCTCGGTTGCAGTTTGTCCCCGGCCCTGGTCGGTTGTGCGGGTGGCAGCCACTCGATGTGTTCCTTTCACATCGATGTTTCTCTCTCTCTCTCTCTGTTCCTCTCTCTCCCTCCCACTCTACCTGAACAAAAGATGGAAAAATGTCCTCGGGTGAGGATAAAAAAAAAAAAAAATTATTCATCATGACCAAGTGGGATTCATCCCAGGGATGTAAGGCTGGTACAATATTCGCAAATCAATAAATGTGATACACCACATAAATAAAACGAAGAATAAAAACCACATGATCATATCAATAGATGCTGAAAAAGCATTCGACAAAATCCAGCACCCATAAAATGCTCAGCAATATGGGAATAGAGGGATCATATCTCAACATAATAAAGGCCATATATAAAAGACCTACAGCCAACATCATACTCAATGGGCAGAAACTAAAAGCATTTCCCTTAAGAACAGGAACAAAACAGGGATGTCCACTTTCGCCACTCTTATTTAACATAGTACTGGAAGTCTTAGCCACAGCAATCAGACATGAAGAAAAAATAAAAGGGATCCAAATTGGAAAGGAGGAAATGAAACTGTCATTATTTGCAGATGACATGATATTATACATAGAAAACCCTAAAGACTACATCAAAAATCTACTAGACTTAATAAATGAATTTGACAAAGTAGCAGGATACAAAATTAATGTCAAGAAATTGATAGCATTCTTACACCAATGATGAACTCACAGAAAGAGAAACTAAGAAAACAATCCCATTTACCATTGCGGCAAAAAAAATTAAGATACCTAGGAATAAACTTAACCAAAGAAGTAAAGAACCTATTTGCAGAAAACTACAGGTCATTGAAAAAAAAATAGAGGAAGATATAAAAAAAGTGGAAGCACATACCTTGTTCACGGATTGGAAGAATTAACATCATTAAAATGTCCATACTACCCAAAGCAATCTATAGATTCATTGCAATCCCCATCAAAATACCAACAACATATTTCACAGAACTAGAACAAATACTTCAAAAGTTCATATGGAACCATAAAAGACCCCAAATAGCCACAGCAATCTTGAAAAAGAAGGACAAAGTAGGTCAGATCACAGTACCAGATATCAGGTTATACTACAAAGCTACTGTAATCAAAACAGCCTGGTACTGGCACAAGAACAGGCATATAGACCAGTGGAACAGAACAGAGAACCCAGAAATGGACCCAAGACATTATGCTCAATTAATATTTGACAAAGGAGGCAAGAGCATACAATGGAGTAAAGACAGCCTCTTTAATAAATGGTGTTGGGAAAATTGGACAGCTACATGCAAAACTAGACCATCAACTTACACCATACACAAAAATAAACTCAAAATGGATAAAAGACTTAAATGTGACCCATGAATCCATAAAAATCCTAGAAGAAAATGTAGGCAACAAAATTTCGGACATCATATGCAGCAGAATGTTCACTGATACATCACCTAAGGCAACAGAAACAAAGGAAAAAATGAACACATGGGACTACATCAAACTAAAAAGCTTCTGAACAGCAAAAGAAACAACCATCAAAATGGAAAGGGAACCCACTGTATGGGAGAGCATCATTGCCAATGATACATCAGATAAGAAGTCAATTTTCAAAATATATGGAGTACTCATACAACTCAACAAAAGGAAGACAGAGAACCCAATTAAAAAATGGGCAGAGGAGCTGAATAGACACCTCTCCAAACAGGACATACAAATGGCCAAGAGACATATGAAGAAATGCTCAACATCACTAACCATCAGAGAGATGCAAATTAAAACAACAATGAGGTATCACCTCACACCTGTCAGAATGGCTGCCATCAACAAATCATTAAACAAGTATTGGAGAGGGTGTGGAGAAAAGGGGACTCTAGTACACTGCTGGTGGGAATGCAGACTGGTGCAGCCACTGTGGAAAACACTATGGAGTTACCTCAAAAAATTAAAAATTGAATTACCATTTGACCCAGTGATCTCACTTTTAGGAATATACCCTAAGAAGTCTGAAACACCAATCAGAAAGAATCTATGTACCCCCATGTTCATAGCAGCACTATTTACAATAGCTAAGATCTGGAAACAGCCAAGTGTCCATCAGTAGACAAATGGATAAAAAAAGCAGTGGTACATATACACAATAGAGTACTATGCAGCTGTAAGAAAAAAAGATCTCTTATCCTTTGAGACGACAGGGAGGGACCTGGAAAGTATTATCCTAAGGGAAACAAGCCAAGCAGAAAAAGACAAATACCACATGATCTCACTTACTTGTGGAATATAATGAACATAATAGTCTGAGAATAGGGTAGACCCAGAGATGTGGAAGTAGGGTACAGACTGACAACCTCAGAAGAGGGGGTGGGGGTGGGGGGAGGGAAGAGATAAACCACAGAATTTATATGCATGTACCCATAACCAATGGACATGGACAACAAAGCCGGGGACGAGGTGGGGGGTGGGGGATGTGGAGGAGAGTGTCAATGGGGTAAAAAAGGAGAAACATCTGTAAAAAAAAAAAATAAATAAATAAAAGGCTTGAGATGCTAAGGGGAAGAGACAGGATTCGAACCAACGGCCTGATTTCATAGCTATTGCACTGAACCGCTCTGCTGTAGCACCACCGCATAGTATGTTGACCCACGGCCGCCAGAGAGAGAGGGAGGGAGAACGTCAGCCTCTAGAGACCGAATTTTGCACAAAGAAAAAAATCAAGAGCCTATTTTAATTTCAGCATGCGTGCAAGTTTTGTGTTGTACAGTTTAGGTATTTGTATCTTGAGTTACATATTAGAAGGTGCTCCATATAATTTTTTTCAGGCTTGAAGCCTCCAAAGGTCGTAATCTGGCTGTTTCTCTGTTACATGCAGCCAGAAGCATCTCTCCCAGCACAGTCAGATCCTTTGTGGGTCCATCAGGGATTATGAAAATTCCCTTCTTGCCACAAATCCCAAATTTGAATCCCACAGTTCCAAGGACCCCTTCCTTTCTCTTCCCTGGAAGATCCTACTGAGACCTCAAGCCAGTGGCCCACAAGGTGGTTTTAAGTTCCCCTACAGTACAGGACACCTTAAATGAATCCTGTTCCTGGCAGAGGGCCAGACAAACTGCCTGAGCTGCCCGGTTGGCCTGGACTGGAAGACACCAGCCAGGCTGTGCTGCACCTGAGCCACTAGGGGGCGCCCGACTCCCACCAACCATACCTGACCTCAAAGCTCCAACAGGGGCTCAGGAATGGGTTTTTCCTTTACAGCATCCAAGGTGGTTCTAATACAGCCATGCTGCTGTCCCTAACCCCTTACTCCCATTTTATAGGCGCGCACGCGCGCGCGCGCACACACACACACACACACACACACACACACACACACAGCCAGTCTACAGACCAGCCAACTGTACTGTCTACTCACTTCCTTGTTGAGTATGTTATCAAAGCCCTGGGGATTAGAACTGTCTCATTTCCACTCCCCCACCCCTGCCCCTCCAGTGTTTCTTCCCCGTCCATCCTTCTTCCTGGTGATCTCTGGACCATTCTGGGATTTTGGAAACATCTTTATCACCTATAATACACCTCCGTTGATTCTCACAACTGCACTGCCTGTGAACAAGGATGGCCTCCTTGGCAGAAGGGGAAACTGAGGCATGGGTAGATGGAAGGACTGACAGACAGCAAGTCAGTGATGGCACTGGGGAGAGAACCAGGATACCTGATCACATCACCCCTAGCCCTGCCTGCATCCCAGCCTACTGATAGGCGAGGGACCCTCCCCAACAACCATGGCACCAGGGCTGCAGCTTTGGGAGACACTTAATGGAAAGTGTCGACTGCTTCCCTGCCACTGACTTGCTGTGCAACCTTGATCAAGTCTCTTCTCCTCTCTGAGCCTCTGTGGGTTTGAAGATGGCCGCTGGGTCGCTCTCTGAGTTCTGCGAACATCGGACTGGGGCCTGAATCATCTCTACGCCTGTGGGGCTTCCAAGGTCTTCAATCAGAATGCCCAGAGCAAGCCCTGGCCAGTGTTGGCCAGTGGTTAAATTGTCGGTCCGTGTGCCAAGGTCTCGAGTTCAATTCCCGGTCAAGGGCACACACCTGGTTCGCAGGTTCAATCCCCAGCCCCAGTCAGAGCACGTGTGGGAGGCATCCAGCTGATATGTTTCTCTCACATACATGTTTCTCTCTCTACCCCTCCCTTACTCCCTCCCTTCCCCTCTCCCTCAAAATCAGTGGAAAATATATCCTCAGGTGAGGATTAACACGCAAAATGCCCAGGGCTGGTGACAGCACCACGGTGCATCAGCAGTAATGACACAAGTCCCCACTTCTCACCCGCTCTCCACCGCGGGGCTTTCCCTTGGCTTCAGCACGTGACGTAACACTTACCACCCGCAGGAGCTACCCAGTTCTATTACCTCCCCCATTTTACAGATGAGGAAACTGAGGCTCAGAGATGTAACACAAGTAGGTGAGCAAGACTGGAGCCAAGGAGGACCCAACCTCAAAAGGTGGGCTCTTTCTTCCATCATGTGCTGCTCAGGGAAGCTTCTGGGACTCAGCTGTAGAGATTCAGGGTCTGCCCTACAAGGTTTATGGTCTTTGAGCTGCCCCTTGTGAGGTATCATGGGAACTGTGAGAGAGACAGAGCTCAGACCATCACGGCCCATAGGCCCTCCACCTCTCCCCCACTCCCCCCCCAGCCCCGCACCCTGGCCCACAAGCAGACACCGCAGCCCCGCCAGAGCCTGTGAGCAGATGCAGGTTTATTGTTGCACAGACTGCAGCATCCTGAACCCTCGCCCCAAACACCAGCCCCCAAACCAGGCCCGGGAGCTGACAGCCATGGGCTACGCCAAGAAACCTGGACAGTGACCCCAGAGCCAAGGCGGGGGCCTGTCGGCCCTGAGCAGTGCCCCGAACCCGCCCCCTCATTCCCTAGGAGTCCAGGAAAGCCCAAACACGGATGCAGAGCAGGGCCCGGGCCAGTGGAGGATGGGAGCATCCGCAGGCTTCTCTCCGCAGAAATGCAGTCCGTGATTCCAGCCAGGCCCGAGGCCCGAGCAGGCCTGAAGCAGCAGGTGTGAAGTGGACAGAAGGTCCAAGTATCGAGGGGGAAGGGAAAGCAGACCCCAGCAGAAGCAAACTTCAGGTCGCAGAGCTGGCCTGGGAAGGCCAGGCCACAACTCCGAGGATGTCACTGTCACGTCCTTCCCCAGCCTGGAGGGGCCTGGAGCGTTCTCTCCATCCTCCCAGAAGCAGCTTCTACCCACCTGCAGCTTCCACCCACCCAGCCAGCACAAGGGCCCAGGACTCAGTGCGGTACAAACACGTGATGAGCTGTATGCAGACTTCTGCCATGCAAGCCAAGGGGCTTAGATCACACAGCCTGCACTGGGTGGGAGCCCGGGGCTCGCTCCTCTCTCCCTGGGAAACAAGCAGCCTGTTGACAAGCAGCCTGTCTTCAGCCCCTGCCTGAACGTCTGCCCTGGGGAAATCTGCCTGGGCTTCCACGGGCTTCCATGCTCAATGTCCCCTGAGCCTGCGGTGGGCCCTGGTCGGGGAAGCAGCCAAACCACTCACAGGGCATCACAGTAGCTTTATCTTGCCAGCCCCAGGGCTCCTGCACAGTGACCCCGCGGCACCCTGAGCACACCTGAAACCCTAAATGCAATGCCAGCCTCAGGCTCAGGCACACGCAAACACCGGGTAACTCCCCTTGGCCCTTCTTCCCACCCCCACCCCCTGGCCACCTGGTCAGTGGCTTCCTAGCCAAAGGCTCCAATCCCTCCCGTCTCCTCTTCTATTGGTCCAGAAGGGAAGCTAGCTGGACAGGTGGGAGGAGACAGGAGCACTGCATCCTGGGATATTCAATCCGAGCATGCTCATGTCCTCTACTGTCATCCAGACACCTGTAGGCAGGGGCCAGCGTGTGTGCTGGGTCAAGGCAGTGAAAGGCCCTCTGCCTATCTGAGGGCGTCTCCCTTGCCCACAGCAGGGATCTGCCAGCCCGGCAGCCAGAGGTTAAAATAAAGCGGGAGGGGGTAGCAGGAAGGGGACTGGGATTTAATATTATTATTCTGGTTTGGTGACTTCTCCAAAAACACACAAAAGCCCAGGGAGGGAGCAACAAGGGACGAGGTGAGAGAGTGGTTGAGGATGAAGGACAGGAGTAGGTCAGGGCTTTCCCCGCCCCTGGGTAAAACTCCAGGAGGGTTTCCAGCACATTCTATCCCTTTTGGCACCTCCGCCACCCAGCAAGGGCGCCATGGGAGGCCTCCTTAAAGGTTTGCAGCGTGGGTGTGAGCTGAGACCCAGAGCTCCAGGTCCAGAGGCCAGTCCTCCTTGGCCACCCTGCCCAGCACTGCAGAAAGACGGGTCTTCGAGTCCACAGCAGGAACTCCTGGTTCTGCAGAGAGACAGCAAGAAGGTCAGGGGAAGGAGGGAGGGAAGGCACACGGAGGCTGGGCCAGGTTCAAGGCAGGGGTCAAGCCTCAGGCTTGATCTTCTCTGGGGCAAGATCCCCCCACTCCCAAACCACCAGGGTAGCTTTGCTCCATGGCTCTGACTCTGGGATCAGGGACCATTCTTTCCCCTCTGGACGCTGCCTCTGCTCATCTGCACGTGCTGTTTGTTCCCTTTGCCTGGTTTGCGCTCCTTTTCGTGGGACCTTACCTGGCCCCTCCCAGATCCATCCCAGAGAGAAAACCACCTGATGGAACCAACTGGCAGCTTGCTTTCCAGAAAGGACTGAGGGATGGGCTGGGGGTTGGGAGCAAGACAGAAAGGGAGGCAGAGAGAAGTGGGTCCAGCCATCCCAGACTCAATCCTGCCCTGTGAGGTTCTGGGGGGAGGAGGGCAAGAACTGTTTTGCTTGACATTTGAACTGCAAGACTTGTATATAATGAGCTATAATGAAGGCTTCGCTCCCACTGAGTTCACCCCATTTCCCAGGACGGAAGTGAGTCCCTGCTGTATCCCGAGATTCCAGCGGAGCAGTTGCTCCGCGAATGTCGGTCACATGAGCGAGTGAGTGCGCAGAGCCCCCACCGCTCCCTGATAGAAAGCAGGTGTTCTGCAGACGCTGCTCTAAGGGGCCGCTGAACAGAGTGACCTATCAAATCCACATTCTCAGTCCCTGCCTCCGATGGGGAGGGGTCTCAATTAACCACAGGAGCAAGGCCTAGTAGGCAACAGGCCCTTTTCCCCACCATTCCCACACCCTGGTGCTTGAAACTCTCCACGGGCTCCCACCCCGCCCCGGGCCTCACCTGGCAGACAGGCTCAGGTCAGGAGGTGAACGAAGAGGATGGCCAGGCCGATGTTAAGCAGGATCACCATGCAGATGAGGACAGTGTTGGGGACCTGGGAGGAGGAGAGAGAGGCTGCCTGAGTCCCCGTGGCCTCTGCACCACCCCACACCCTCCCCATCACAACAGGGTGGACAGAGGAGCAGGAACTTCCGGAAGGACCCTCCTGAGAGCACCCCATCTGGCTCCCTGCTGTGTCCAGTAGCGGGACGGCAGACCATCAGAGCTGGGAGAATTCTCGGAAATAATTAACAAACCACTCAGGGTCCAGAGAGGAGCAAGGACGCGTCCCAAAGCACACGGTGGGCAGTGCTGGGCCTAGAACCCACACACATGGCCTTCCCCATTAATACCTCGCGGGCCACATTCGTCAGCCCTTAGGAGCCTAGGTTCTTCAGCGCTGCAATTCCTAGGTCCCAGTCTCCTACAGCAAGCTGGGAGGTCCAGGACCCAACCTCTGGTGGGCCCTTCCTCCCCCTCCAGGAAGCCCTCCCTGCTACATGGTGTAGCAGATGCTGCTGGTGCTCAGCTGGGTTCCCCCTCACCCTGCAGGTGCACCTCCCCCCAATCTGCTTAGAGCTCCCAGCTGCCCCCTTCTCCAAAGAACTGCCCCTGCTGACCAGACAGCAGGTACAAAGGCCAGCACCTACCCCTGCGGGGAGACGCTGCACTTGACCAAGCCCACATCCCTGCTGGGGATTCCCCCTGCTCCGTCCTGTGCCATCATCCTCCACCCAATCACCCACGCCTATCCTGCCTGAAGGGGTAGGGACCAGCCCTTGAACACCCTCACCAACAGCCTCACCTCCTCCACTTCCACCTCGGCCCCTGCCGCCAGCGCTGCCTCCTTCCGAGTCTTCTTCTTGGCCCCAGCCTTGGTCAGCCCTCGGGCCTCAGTCTTGCGGGCCTTGGCCTTGGGCTCGGCTTTGGGGACAATGGGCTTGGGCTCCAGCTTGGCGGGGGGCTCGGGAGCGGGCTCCGGGGCCGGAAGCATGGGGACCTGCACTGGGGCAGTGGCCGGGGACGGGGGCGCGGAGTCAGACCCGGAGGCCTCGGGCAAGGGCTCTTCCTCGCTGGGCGGCGGCGTGGAGGGAACCGTGCGCACCGCGTAGCTGTGGTACCCCTGGTACAGCGCCACCTCCGGCTCCCGCGACGGCGCGGGCGGCACCTGCAGCGCCTCGATGGCCATGTGCTCGGTGGCCGGCCGCGCTGGGCTGCGGCGGCCGCCAGACGGCGTGGCCGGCCGGCTGCCCTCGGTGCCCGACTCGCCGTTCCAGGAGCCTGGGCTCAGCAGGCCGTCCTTGGCCGGCCCTGGGCGGGGCCGCTTGGGCTGCGGGGGTGTCCCGGCTGGCGACGGGGGGCCACCTTCGGGCCGCGGGGTCTCGCGCTCGTGCAGCTGCGGGCTCTCGCGGGGCCGCTCCGGGAGGCCAGCGGCGCCCGCACCCCGGTCGGGGGGCGCCAGCAGGCTCTCCGAGTTCTCCAGGATCTCCTGCAGCAGCCGGCGCTTCTGATACTCCGGACCTGCCAGGGATACACCGGGGGATGGGTTCGAATCCTGGTCCCAGCACTGGGTGATCCTGGGCAAGCCGCTCGACCTCGCTGAGCCTCCGTTTACTTCCCAGCCGCACTTACCCACCATCTACGTGTGCCAAGCTCTGTTTGAAGCAATTTCCAAATATTAACTCAGTCAATAGTTTTAATAAGCCTATAAGGTCGATGTTATTAACCTTCGTTTTACAGATGAAGAAAGGGAGGCTCAGAGAGGTGAAATCACTTGCCCAAAGTCACCCAGATGACAGAGGGCAGAGCCAGGACTAGCACCCAGAGTCAGGCTCCAGACTTTATGCTCTTTTTTTTTTTTTTTTATCCTCACCCGAGGACATTTTTCCATTTTTTGTTCAGATAGAGCGGGAGGGAGAGAGAGAGGAAGAGAGAGAGAGAGAAACATCTATGTGAAGGGACACATTGAGTGGCTGCCACCCGCACGACCAACCAGGGCCGGGGACAAACTGCAACCGAGGTACATGCCCTTAGCGGGAACCGAACCCCGGTCTCTCTGTACCGCAGGTCGACGCTCCAATCGCTGAGCCAGGGCCAGACTTTATGCCCTTAACAGTGACACTGGTCTCTTTCCATTTCCTTATCTGAAAAATTGGCCTAATCCATACTTATTTCATAAATACTAATAAAAGGATTAATTGGGTGGAGAAAATGCAGGGCCTGTCACACAGTGACAGCGATTGCTGTGACCACCCACGGCAGAGGCAGCCAGTGTCTTCCTCCGACCAGCAGGGGGAGGGCTGGGACCAGAAGCCACTTAGCCTCCCAGGCAGAGTGCTGTGTTCCAAGCTCTTTGATCTGGTTTACCCTTGGTCTCCTTGCTGCAGCCAGAATAATGTTTAGAAAACAAATCTAATCATGCCACCCGCCTCAAAACCCTTCATGCAGAGAAAAACAATATCCCGCCCTGAGGGGCTCCCACCGCTCTATCCAAGTGCAAGGTCTGTTTCAGAGCAGAGGTTACTCTGCAACCTCATTTCTCAGGAAGAAGAGACAGCCTGGAGTGGGGCCGGGCCATAACTGGGGGCCTCTGATACCCCACCACAATCTCAGTATGAGTCCCCTGGTCATACCATCCCATGCTTGCACCATGCCCCAGTTTCTAGAACTCACAGGCAATTGTGAACCCACTTGTGCATCTCAGCTTTCCAGCAAAGATAAAAAAAAAAAAAAGTGTCCACCTGTGGGGACCCCCTCCCTGACCCTGTCCTGACTGTCCCCTCCTCAGCTGGCCCTACCTGGCTGGTAGAAGTCTGGAGCCAGCTCCCTGGCCAAACTGCGGGCAATGTTGGACTCTTGGTTGGCAGCCAGGGCAGCCTGTTCCGAAGCCTCAGCTTTGGCCTTGGCATGGCTTGTCCTAGGAGACAACATGATGGAAACTCAGCATCCCTCCGGAGAACCAGCCCTCTGTCCCTTCTCCCCAATTCACAAAGAGACAACCTGGACACTCAGGCTGTCAATGAGTAATTATTGAGTCCTGTGGCCCAGAATACTGTGCATTCCCCAGACCATTTCCACTTTTTTCTGAGCACATGGATGGACAACATTTCCCAGCCTCCCTTGCAGCTAGGTATAGTCATGTGACTGAGTCTTAGCCAATGCATTATGAGAAGAAGTGATGTATGTTCTATCCAGGCCTGGCCCATAAAAACCTCTCCTATGGTTCTCTGTTTCCTCTCTTTTTTCCCCTGTTGCTGGTGAAATGCAGAGGAGGCCAAGGCCCCAGAACAGGGCACTTGATCTTTCGTGTGTCACAGACCTCTTAGGTATCCAGTGATGCCTCTGGACCCCTTCTCAAAATGTTTTAAAATGCATAAAAGACAGATGATTACAAAAGGATGCAATTATATTGACACATTGTTACCAAAATACTTAAAAGAACAAATGTATAATACAATGCATCATTTATTAATACATTAAACTAAATATCTAGCAGGTCTATTACCTACTATAATTTTAAAGTAGAGGTTAGCAGAATGGATATGTCAAGGATACCTGCAACAATAGTAATGTCACATGAAAATATATTTAATTTCTACTGGTGACAATGTCACAGATATTGTGAATACTATTGTAGTTTATTACTCATTTCCATAATTGAAGAAAATGCTAAATTTCAGTTAGAGGCTAGTAAAAATAAAGGTGTAGTTTTCCCATTTGTTGTCAACACTTTTGGTGCTCCACCCAGGTCCCTTTATTGGGCAGATGCACCCACCCCTAGGTGCTGAATTGGCTTCTGACGGCTCATTGCTGTCCCAGAGAATTGCAACCAATAGAAGCTACCTTATTCCAAGGTCTAAACATACCCCCTCCCCAAAACCAGGCAGTCCACAACCAATGACTGATAATGCTCTCAGGCCCCTCTTGCCTCAAGAGGAACCAGTTTTATGGTACAATCCAGGCTCCAGAGTCCCTGTGGGTCAGGCTAAAGCAAGATGCCAGGTAAAACCACATCCTTGCTTAGCTACTTCCCTACCAATCCTGATTCTTTCCCTCCCCTCTCTCCTGAGAGTGTTCCCTCATTAAACCAGTACACAAAAATCTCCACCTCCGACTCAGCTGCTAGGGAATCTAACTTAAGACAGCATCCAAGTTCATGGACTCTCTGTGGACTCCAGTTTAAGAAACACAGTGGAAGGAACCTGGGTCCACAAATGACTACTGCGCAGAGCAAAGTCCCCTCCCACAGTCCCACACTGGATCATTTAAGCATTGAATTGAAACTTTAAATGTGGATCATTTAAGCAAGTGTTAAACATGTAGTGCATTAAGCACCCGAGATTCAAGGGATGCCGATCTCTGCCAAGTCTTTCTCTTCTGCGTTTTCAATGCATTCTCTACTCTTCCTTCATGGCACTTCTCGTGACCGCAATGAATTAACTTTTAACTCAGTTACATTTTATTCAATAATTTTTGTTTGTATGACAGTGAAGGCAGGGACTGGGCTTGTCTCGTCCATAGGGATCTATGTCCTCAGCTCCTGGCCACATGTGGCACATGGCCATGCACACAGGGTCCTGGAGTCACCCAGGTTCACAATCCCAGCTCCTGCACTTAAGGACTCTGTGACCAAGGGCAGGTTGTAACCTCTTAGCAGGCTTTCTAAGGCATTGTGGTGGTTATGTGAGATAATCGTCTAATTCTTTTAGAGCGGTGCCTGGGCCATTCATAAATGGGGCTGTTATTATTTTCGTAGGTGCTTCTATTAGTCAGGCTAGACTAACAGATAAAACAAGCATCCCTTGAAACTCAGGATGGGACTGAGTAGTGATAATGATGGTGGTGGTGGAAGAAGAAGTGGAGGAGAAGGAGGAGGAGGAGGAGGAGGAGAAAGAGGAGGAGGAGGAAGGAGATATTTATGACATCAAAACTCAGTGTGGTACATGGTTTTCCCGAGGCTCCTATCTGATTGTCCATGGGTATGTGTGATTCAGAGTTCTAAAATTTTCAGAGACACTTTCCTGGAAACCTGAAACCCCAGGTGGGGGGAGCAGGGACAGGGCTGGGCAAACCTTCCTGCTGAGAAAATGTCCTTTTTTGGTCAAGCGAGCTGGGCGAGGCTGGTTTCCTGGTGCTCTGGGAGTCTGCTGTGAGACTCCTGGGCGGAGTGGCAGCCTGCACACTGAGCCCTGGAAGATTCCGGGAGGTTCATCTTGGACCCTCCACAGAGCCAGAACAGGGGTTGAGTGCGGGGTGGCCACGCAGCACACGCTTCTGCCCATGTCCATCAGTCTGGCCACCTGATCCTTTATCAGACCCACTCTTCAATGTCTGAGATTTCTGGTATGGCTCCCCAGCACCCCAGCCTTCAAGCCAGGAATCCCAGTGTTCTCCTGCACCCTCCTACCTCATGTCCTTTCAACATCCACAGCTGTCAATCACTGCCTCTTGTCTCTTCTGGTCCCTCTATGGCTCTCGAATGTGCCCATCTCTCCATCCTTCTGTCACTCCTCCTGGAATCCCCACCCCCACGCCTGCCTCCAGGCCTGTGCCCTACAACTGATTACGTGCGGTGGCACTGTGGGATGTGAGCTTGTTTAACCCCTACAGCCAACGGCTTCAGCCGTTGCCGGGCTTCCTATGGTGCTCGATGTAAAGTCCAAATTACTCAGCATGGCCGGCAGAGCTCTCCAGATCCTGGGCCCGAGGCGGCTCACAGGGTGAAGGGCAGGCAGAACTGCTGTTACCCAGAGGGTCTTGCCTCTAGTTTGGTGCCAATCAGTGTGGTGCCTCCCCACCACACCCCCAACCCCCTCATCACCTGGGAGCTAGTTGGAAATACAGATTCTTGGGCTCCACCCCAGACCTACTGAATCAGAGTTTCCGGGGGAGAAGCCCAGGAGTCTGTGTTTTATAAGTCCTCCAGGTGCTTCCGCTGACATCTGAAAAGCATGTGCTAGACAGACAGACAGACAGAAAACCCAGCTCGGCTTGGGCAGTGCCCAGCCTACTCAATGCTCCAGGAGCCTCGAGTGTTCCTCTTTAAGCACCAGGGTCCCTTCCGGGTCCTGCTAGGCAAGTGCAGGGACCATTACTTCTTCTGTGACCACTCACAGTGTCTGGGCTGATGCCTCCGTGGGAGGGTCCCCTAGGATGGCTCTGCCCTGCTGGGGGGAAGGGAAGGAGCAGTAACTGGGGCAGGGGGAGGGGCAGGGATCAGTCGCTCTTCTGGATTTCATTCGGATTATCTTTCTTATCTTTCGTCAGCAGGGTTAAAAATAAGTGGTGGTTCAGGGATAGGAGCAGGGAATGAGTCCCTTGGAACCACTTCTGAGAGCATCCGCTCCCTTTCCTGTGTCCTTTCCCACACGCAGACCCCTAATTGCCCAGCTACAGCTGGCCTTGCTGCCCAGGTGTCTCCCTCAGGCACTGATGGCTTCTTTGGGCCAAAGGGGGCAGCCATCAGACTTACCCCTGACATCATGCCTTTGTTCAGGCTAGTCCCCTCCCCGAAAGCTCTTTCCCCTCCTTCAACCTCCTAGGCCAGCTCAGGACACTTCTATGTATGGATTCATTCGTTTAATACAACGTCATGCGGTGCCTGCTACATGGCAGACACTGTTCTGGGCACTGTGGACACAATAACAAACCAAGCATCAATAAGTCCCTGTAGAACTCCCATTCTTTTGCAGAGCAGGGGGTCGGCAAATCACGGTGGCAGGCCAAGTCCAGCCTGCTGCCTGCCTGTTTTTATACTGCCTGGGGGCTCATAATGGTTTTTATATTTTTAAACAGTTGAATAAACCCAAAAGTAATATTTTCCTGACACGTGAAAAGTATATGAAATTCAAATTTCCGTGTCCCTATAAATAAAGTTTCATTGGAACACAGCCACACCCATTTGTTTATGTGTTGTCTAGAGTTCAATAGTTGCCATAGAGATCGTATGACTTGCCAGGTCAAAAATATTTACAGTCCAGCCCTTACAGGACATTTTTGTGGACCCCTGTACTCATGTATTCACTCAACACCTGCCTCTTCTGTTACTATCATTAATAACACTAATCTGTTACTTCTGGAGCACTTCGTGCCCAGCTCTGTGCTATGGCCGCCTTTACACATACGACCTCAGAGAGGTGGAGTCACATTCTCCAGATCACACAGCTAAAGAGTGAATCTGCCCAAGCTCTTACCCATCACACCAAGCCCTCTTGCAGCTAACTCTGGACAGGTCTTCCATGTGCTGGGACCAGGGATGGGGTTAACTAGGACCCAGAAGCCTAATGCATCCCTGCCAAGTCAACCATGCAGCATCTCTGAAAATCAACGGATGAACAGGGGCATGGAGCAAAGCGTCTAGACCACATAGTGGCTAAGAGGGGGCAGCTCTAGCCAAGTTGCCTGGATGCAGTTCCTGACTCTGCTTCTTATATCCTTGGGCAAGTCTAAGACCCCAGGGCCCCTGTCTCCTCATCTGTAAAGTGGGGATGATAACAGCACCCACCTGGGTGAAATGCTGTGAGAAATAAATGAATGAACTGTCATATGGCCCTTAGAACAGTGGCTAGGACACAGAAAGTGCTATAGAGGTGCATGTAAATAAAATAAATAAGAAGCACCTTTTCTGGGGAGAAGACTAAAAGAAAATCCTGAATGTACTCAGTGTCTCTGATTTGCTTACTTTCAAATTAGAAAAAGTCCTTCAGAGCAAGCTGCCCGTGGTCGGTGTGGAGGAGGGAAGCAGATAATCTGCAGGCTGCAGAGGTGCCGAATAGGGATAGTGCGGCCAAGTGTCTTCCTGAGCTGGGGATGCTTTGGATGCCACTGCCCTGCCCTGCCCTCTCCCAAAACAGCCTCTCCCTGGCTCTGGCTGGCCATGGCCATTTCCCCCAGAACAATCAGGGTCAAAGTAAACCT